GGGCAGCTAGGTGGCGCAGTGGATAGAGTACTGGCCCTGGATTCAGGAGAACTTGAGATCAAATCTGGCCTCAGACATACATAACACATACTAGCTGTGTGACCGTAGGCAAGTCACTTAACCTCATTGCCTAGCCCAAAAAAACCCCCCAAAATAAAAACTCTCTAATGTCTATAAGATAAAATGTTATCTCTTTAACCTGGAGTGGCTCTACTTTATTTCAAACTACTATTTTCATAGCTGGGCAGCTAGTTGGCATAATGGATAGAGTGCTCAACCTAAGTTAGGAAGACATCTCCCCGAGTTCAAATCTGGCCTCAGACACTTACTGGCTGGGTGACCCCGAGCAAGTCACTTAACCTTATTTGCCTCAGTTTCCTCATCTGTAAAATGAGCCAGAGGTGGAAATGGCAAACCACTCTAGTGTCTTTACCAAGAAAACCCCAAATGGGATAAAGAGTTGGACACAACTAAACAACAAATTTTCATAGCTAACTTTACAATCCAGGAAAACAGGAGTTTGCTACTTCCTGCCTCTGTGGATCTTTAGAACGTATCTCCTATGCCTATAATGCATTCCATCCATACTTCTATCTGTTTGAAATCTCAATTTCTTTCGAGATCCAGCTCAGGTATTCATTTTTCCATAAAGTGTTCCTTGATTGCTCCTTCATATTTCCAATAACACTTTGAATTAGTCCTCCTTTGCCTTTATAATAACTCACATATGTAACAGAGTTTAAGGATGCCATCCCCATTACCACCAATTCCCCTGTCCTCCTATACACATATACATATGTAGTCTAGTTGGGGTGGTTACCTCTTTAACTGCCACTGGGTTATTTCCTTATTCTCTTCCAGAGTTCTAAGACAATCAAGAGGTGTGTTCTTTTATTTCTTCATAAATTAGCTTTGAGATTCCACCTCAGCTAATAAAAATAAACCAGAGAAACCTCTTTTCCCATAAGCTTTCTCTCCTCATCTTAGTCTCACATAAACATCCATTTTATTGGCTGTATGATGTATTTAACAATATAACAATTTGTAACACTGACTTCTATAGCCTCTTCTGCAGACCATAGATACTGTTATTTGTTTCTTTAAGAAGTGATGGAATGCAGCTATCAACAACCATATTAAAAATGCTGTAAATCACTGATAATTAGAAAAATGAAAATTTTAAAAAACCTTAAGATTTCGCCTCACACCCTTCAAATTGGCAAAGATGACAAAAGGGGAAAATGACAAGTGGTGGAGAGGCTGCAGAAAACAGAGTCGTAAAGTGGGGTCAAACTCAAACAGGAATGAAGGCGGCCAAACCGTATATGAGGATCCCTGCAGGCTACATATTAACTTGGAAAACCACACATTAATGTTATCTACATTCTGTTTATTTTTTCTTTTTGTTAAATATTTCCCAATTACATTTTAATCTTGTTTGACTAAACTCAGGAGTGTTGCAACCTGACCAGGACAGTGTTTGACATATCTGCACCACAGCACTTTTGATGGAGCTATGAAGTGGTCCAGCCATTCTTGGAAAATAATTTGGAACTCTGCCCAGAAAGTGACCAAACTTCACACCCTTTGACACAGCTATAACACTAATAGACCTATACCCTCCAAGAGATCAAAGAAAGAGGAAAGGACCACTGGTAAGGCTTTGGTGCAGATTAAAATTAAAACAATATGCACAATGAATGAAAACAACATCATTGGGAAAAACAACTTTTAAAAGACTTTAAGAATCTGGTTGATGCGATGATGAACCATAAATCTAGAGGACTGAAAATAAAACAAAATACACTATTCACTTCCTCCCAGAGAGGAGATGAACTTAAAATGCAGAGAGATACATACAAATATAGGTATAGCCAATGTGGGAATTTGTTTTGCTGGAATATGAATACTTACAAAGATTTTGTTTTTCTGTTTTGTAATTGTTGTTCAACATGGTAGGGGGAGGAGAGTGGGAAGAACAGAATATAAATGTATGTAAATGTATATACACATAAATATTTACATTGAAAGAATGTTGAAAAATTAGCTATTCTATTTCTTTATTTAGGAGGCAATTAGGGTTAAGTGACTTGCCAGTGTCTGAGGTCAGACTTGAACTCAGATCCTTCTGACTCCAGGGCCGGTGCTCTACATATTGCGCCACCTAGCCCCCAAAATTAGCTATTCTAGAGGGACTATTATCTGTCATAACTAGAGAAAGACAATATGATACAAGAGAAAGATGAAGATAACTTCTTTCTTGAGAGAACTAATTTAACTCTTATCTTGCAAATATAACATTTGTTCCACTAAGTTCATACACAGTGATCATAGATAAATGAAGGAGTGAAAAAAAATGATTAAGCACTTTCCATATGCAAAGTATTACTCTAAGGATAGCAAGAGAAAATGAGACAGTCCTTGCTCTCAAGTTCACATTAAAATGAGGGAAAGATCACATATAGGAGGTTTAGTTGTAAGTCAAATGAAAAGGTCTTATAGTATTTAAGGTACAGCAACAAAGCAAATGATAATTCATCTTTTAAAATGTCATTTCAGTTTCATATCATTTCCACTAATAAAGTCAGATCTCTTTCTGATATTGAACCATTTGACTATGCCAAAGACTGGTGGTAAGAATTTTCTTGTCTGGGTCTTTAGCAGCTGTGCCTATTGTTAATACTAGATACTGTTACTGTATCTGAGAGCCAGGTGAAATGTTGAAGAAAAGGCAATTTGTCCTGGCAGTTCAGTTACAATTGTAATTGGCTTGTTGTAGAGCCAAGGAGAATGTGTGTGGGTTCATTTTTATCTATAAGCATCTGAGGAATCTGTGAAGGCAGAAAGAAGGCAAGGAGGGACTTCTTTCTTTTTGAAAACTATCTCTATTTTATGAAGAAATATTATAAAGATAACCATAAGAAGAATCTGTGAGAAATTGGCAGTTTAAGTGTATTCTGGAAAGACTATTTCTTGTGATGACAGAAAGGAGATTGAATTTAACTCTTATTTTAAGGAGAAATATAAAGAGGATAATTGGGAGACTGTAATCAGTATATGGACTTAAAGGGTGAAATATTGTTTCTGGAAATAAAGTCAATAATCCGTTGGTGTAATGAGGGTTTCAGGTGATTCTGACTATGGAGTAGGCAAAATACAAATAATTACCAGTTATTTGTTGCATTGCGAATGAATCATTCATTCACTAATTATGATATTTAATCAGAGATTAAGGAATTTAAGAGAGATATATGAATAATTATTATTGGGAAAAGTTTGTCCAGTTTATTCAAGCAATTTCTAGTGAACCATGGTGTGGGTTTGAGCCAACTAATTAATGAGAAAGAGATTTGAATTTTATTAATAAGAAAATATCCACACATAGCCCCCTGAATTATCCTAGAGTTTGGGATAAGATTAAATATGAGAATGAATCAAATAGCAAGCTCAAAGGTGACACATAAGTCAGGTTGTAAGACTCTATAATCCTGTTTCATGAAGAGATTTATAAGAAAAGAGATTTTTTTTTTGAAAAGAGAATTCTTGAGGAAAGACTTCAATTGCTATCCTGAGAGAACTGAATGTTGCAACTATGTTTTCAGAATTGAGAAATCTGTAGTTGCAGTGATAGTTAAAGGAAGTGCTGTGCTAGAGACAGCTTATTCAGGCTCATGAGATCCAATTGTTAAATTTTCAAAGTGAGCATTTATACCTCAAAAATTAGCATATGCAAAAAAATCAGGAGTTGGTTTATTGTTTTGTTGATTATAACTCTACCCTTCACAAAGAAATGGAGAAAATGTTAATAAAGACAGATTAAACCTAAAAGTATGTCATAGGTATGGCCTCCTGGTGTTCCCCTCAACACACACAGAGAGCTGGTTGTTAACATTTACCAGCACTCCTCTCAGTAAAGGTAACTTTGGCTATAATCTTTCTCAAAGCTTATACACGGCAAATAATTATTTGCATATTTTAATAAATAGTATAACTGGTAACTTTGATGTGTATTTAAGCCTAGGAGGGTTTTTTGCAGGAGAGTCAACATACATAGAGAGAAAGAAGAGCAAAGATGAGAAAATAAGTTTCTGCATATTTCTTTTATAAGTAATATTTAATAAATTGGTGTGGTGGTTCAAAACTAATTGTCCAATTAAAGAGAAAGATGCTGCAATTTTCGTAACTAAGATGGAAATGTAGAGCATTTCCTGGATTACCTTAGAACTCTGGAAGAGAACAAATAAGGAAAATGAGTGAGTAGTAGTGAGAG